GCCCTGCTCGGACCTGGTCCTCGACTATTCTTGCATCGAGGTCTCGCTGAGGGCCGTTATCAGCGTTCACACCCCTCTGTTCTGTCGTATTGGCAGAGTTTGCTGGATGCACCATCTTTGTGTATATTTTTTTTTAGATCGGGATGACTTGAGATGTCTTTCCCATAGACGGCGCCAAATGTTTATGCAGGAATTTGCACAACGGTTCTTCATGAATCGAGCTCGAACCCGGTCTTCGGTTCCGACCTGAATACTAGAGTGGACCTGCACAAGAAGGTAAGCACTCCGACGCTCAAGTCAGTATAGATCGGACTTCTTATTTAGTTCGAGGTGAGATTCAATACCTGAGCGTCAAATGAAGCCCTCTATTTATAGGTGACGGATCCGACAGCACACACGACCGGCGGTTACATGCCTTTTCTCATGTCGGACCTGTCGGGTTCCGAGCAGGTCGGACCCCAGTCAGGTCGAACTTTGGTGCCCATACTTCATCTTTTAAGGGGCAAACCCGGTCACCTCGGCGGGGCCGAGGTGGACCTAAGCAATCCATTTTATTTAATTTCTTCAAACACGAATAAGGGTCATCCACGTGTCTTGGGTATCTTTACCCTCAAATAGTGTTGTTTTCGAAAATTAAAATAAAATAAACCTAACCTAAGTAATTTACACAAAGTTCCTAAAAAATTTGCAATTAAAATAGGAAAGGAAAAAAAAATTTCTTTCAATTTTCTCAAAGCTCTTCCAAAAACAAGAGAAAAACAAAATGACCTAAACTCCCCTGTAGTGCAAGCTCATTCTCAACATATAGCTCAAAGTCTGACTGCAAAGGTGGTGATATTTGGTTTTGAAATCCTCCCAACAGTCTCATATTCTTTTAAGACGGCTACTCATATGATCCCTTACCATTCAATCACTACAACAAATTTGCCTTTTCATGACGGGCATTGCCCGTCATTAAATAATAACCATGTCGGTCACTGACCGACATCTATACAAGTGTCCTTGTTTCCCTTTCATGTCGGACAGTTTTAAGGTCGGGCATTGCCCGTCATGTATATTCTCTTTCCATCCGGACATGGCCGTCATGAAATGACTATTTTAAGGTCGGGCAGCGCCCGTCATGTATAACGTTTTTCATCACGGACATGCCCGTCATGAAATAATATCCATGACGGGTGACAACCGACATTGTATGTGCGTCATTGTTTGTACGCCATCGTCTGTTCATCATGGAATGACTATATTTCGTGACAGGCATTGACCGTCATTATTTTGTGAATAAATTAATTAAAAAAATATTTGGTTGCCCAGACGTGGCGAACCAACTATATATATTTCCTTCAAACCTATGATAATATCTCAATATACAACTAAAACTTTTAACACATTCATCCATTATAAAACAATATCTATTATAAAACTTAACCCAAAAACTAACCTTAGACTCAAAACACAAATAATCAAAAGTACAAATTTCAACATAACCTCTCCACTTTTAGAATAACTCAAAACTAGCCAACAATATATCTCTCCCTTCCAACCTATTCTATAAAAGTTTAATAAAAACACAAACAATCAAAAGTAAGTACAAATTTCATCATGACCTCTCCAATTTAGAATATAACTCAAAACTAACCAACCAATATATCTCCTTCCAACCTAATCTTACAAAATAATTCTCAATATTATGGAAATTCAAAAACTAATAGGCAAGTAAAACTAACCTTAAACTCAAAAAACAAATAATCAAAAGTACAAATTTCAACATAACCTCTACACTTTTAGAATAACTCAAAACTAGCATGGTTATAAACAAAACAAACACTTCTATATTAACACCCTTCCATACAAGAACAAATGGGACCGCCCGTCCCTCTAACAAAACTACATTCAGCATAAGAATCCAGACTTATATATATTATTATAAACAAAACAATCCAACACTTCTGTATAAACTTCCATATTTAAAGATTAATGGGTCAACCACCCATATATTCCTAAAAAAAATTACACTCAGCAACAATTCAACACTTCATATAAACATCCATATATATTTAACATCTTTCTATACAAAAAAA